ACGTTTTCATTCGTTAATTCATAGTCATAGTCTGAGGAGTAAAGTCAAACTTGACTGTGACTTAAAATCACTGAGACGTAACTATGCAAGTCCTATTTCCTGCTGTGATTGTCCTTGTTCCGGTTCACTGATTTTTGGCTGGCAAATCGTGTATATTAATGAGGGCAAAGGCACTAGCTTTTTAGCACGAAAGACAAAATTTTACTTACCCCACACCCCTCCTACTCCTCCACAATTGATTTATTTTCCCTTTTTGATTTTACTTTTATTTTTGATACGCATCCACGACCACATCTACCGTACATCGAGCCCACATCGACCCTACATGGACCCCACACTGACCCTACCCCCACCACCACCACATTTCTACTGTTTTCCCTCCACCACCACATTTCTACTGCTTTCTTTCCACCACCACCACCACCACCAACACCACATTTCTATTGTTTTTCCTCCACCACCACCACCACATTTCTATTGTTTTCCTTCTTCACCATATTTCCATTGTTTTTTTCCACCACTACCGCCACATTTCTATTGTTTTACCTCCTCTTTGTAAAGTGATTTGGTGGTGGAAAGAAAACAATAGAAATGTGCAGGTGGCGGTGGTGGTTGTGGAGGGAAAACAGTAGAAATGTGGTGGCGGTGATGGTGGTGGAAGAAAACAATGGAAATGTGGTGGTGGTGGTTGTGGAGGGAAAACAATAGAAATGTGGTGGTGGTGGAGGGCAAACAATAGAAGTGTGGTGGTGGCGGTGGTGGAAAGAAAACAATAGAAATGTGGTGGTGGTGGTAGTGGAGGGAAAACAATAGAAATGTGGTGGTGGCGGTGGTGGAAAGAAAACAATAGAAATGTGGTGGTGCTGGTAGTGGAGGGAAAACAATAGAAATGTGGTGGTGGCGGTGGTGGAAAGAAAACAATAGAAATGTGGTGGTGGTGGTGGAAGAGGGAAACAATAAAAAACGTGGTGGTGGCGGTGGAGGTGGAAAAAAAAAGTTAAGGGTAGGGTCAGTGTGGGGTCCATGTAGGGTCGATGTGGGGTCGATGTACGGTAGATGTACGGTCATGGATAGAGATTAAAAATAAAGAGTAAAATCAAAAAGGGAAAATAAATCAATTGCGGAGAAGTAGAAGGAGTGTGGGGTAAGTAAAACATTCTCTTTCTTGCTAAAAAGCTAGAGCTTAAGTCTGCCTTTGCCCTCGTTAATATGGAAGGCATGTCCAGGTCACGTGTTCATTGAAATGTAACGATTTTCTGTCACGTGACAACCAGAAAATATTCATCAAGGGTGGGCATACCACCATTCCAGTTACATTTTGAAAGTACTGTAGATAGGTAAAAACAACGCCAACAAAAATGCTCAGTAAAAATTATTTTACCCCTTCCTATAGAATCCTTTAAGAAAAAATACGGAAGTGAAGTGTTACTTGGTCACGCAACACGTTACCATGGTGATGTCAATCTCAAAAATACTATCTTAACAGGGATAATGCAATGGCCTCTCTCACCCTTGCCATACATTTTCTTTTGAAGATAGACCACCCCCTTATATTTCAGAGTAAAACTGTGGCAGACGAAGGCCTTAATATACCTGAGATATGCAAGTGTCTTGGGATCTAATATGTAAAATCTTATGCAACCAAATGCAATGCTCAGTATTTAATTATTTGGAAGGACATTCAGTGCTGTTTTTTTAATGATTTCGTTTATGATATTTCTAGGAAATATCTGCAATTCTGAGATTTCATTCTTCGTTTTAAAAAAAGTACGCATACTAACGCAATGTTCTCAAATCGTTCTTGCCAGTTCACAAGAAAATGCTAGACTTATGCAAAGAATGTCATCATCATATCCGTTTTCTTCCGTCTAAAACGATATAAATTCGACGTTTTCATAAAACTCCACGCTGTAGGCCGTTTTCGAAAACCTGGGTTTTGATGCCCCAAAACGCCCTTTACGTGTAGAAGGAAGGCTACGAAAAATCTCCGTTTTCAAAAATATGGGTAATCAGGGCAAGATGGCGGGAAATTCAAAGATTTGTATCCAAATTCAAAGCCAGCTAATTCTTCCTGAATTCATATATTTGATGCTTTTTCTTTGAAAAGAGTAACTTACGAGTTCAAAGAAAAAATACACTAAATCTGGAGTGCAAAGAAGTCCGTGATCAGTTTTTAGAAAATCAGAATTTTTCCATACATTTTCTGTAATTTTGATACTGTCGAATTGCAGAAAATGTATGGGGAAAATCAAGGTTTTCTAAAAACTGATCACGGACTTCTTTGCACTCCAGATTTAGTTTATTTTTTCTTTGAACTCGTAAGTTACTCTTTTCAAAGAGATAGCCTCAAATATATGAATTCAGGAAGGGATAGCAGGCTTTGAATTGCAATACAAATCTTTAAATTTCCCGCCATCTTGCACTGATTACCCATAATGTAACTATGAGCATGAACTCCTCTATTGCGACTTGAGAACGAGATTACACCTCTTTGAGCTGCCTTGTTTGATCAGTACTGAGAGAAAATTTACAACCACTTTGACTTCTTGTCTGTCAGATGTAAATATGTCATTCACGAAAGTGCAAAGCTTTCAAAGTTCTATTCAATTCAAAGCCTTGAGTCGACACTTTGTCTGCTGTTAACTAAAGCCTGTCACTATGCTATAGAAACCACGCTTAAGAAACGGCATAAACGGCCATAAATTTCACTTATAAGCACTTCAAACGCCGACGACGAATAAAAGAAAAGCGGTTTTGACGCAAATTAGGTTGCCAGTTAGCTGGAAAGGGTCTTTCAAATTCGTAAATCGTTAAATTGTCATGAAAGCATACGGTTTTTAAAAAGAGAGCCTGAGTTAATAGTAGTAGTCACACATTGCCAATTTCTTTCTTAAAATCTCAGAGAATTCTGCCATAAAAATAAATGACGGGAAAATGGAGTAAAATATTCTAAGTAGCGTTTTTAAGAACCTTCATGGAAATTGGGAAAATATAGGCCCCATTATCTTCACCATAGCTGATATGCTTTATTATTCAAAGACTGTTCTTAAAAATAATAACAATACTCATACTAATACTACTACTACTACTACCACTACTACTAATAATAATAACAATAACGATAATAATAATAAAGACTTATTTAAAAAGCTTCTTAGCGACTGAATCGACTTACTTTTCGTTTCATCTCTTGTGGCCTTGAAGTTTGACGTCACGGAACTGTTGCTACAATCGCCTTTTCTTTTGAGTATAAAATTATTGCAAAACATCGAAAATGTTGCTATCTTGTTTTTAAAGGGGCTATGTTTTATTTTTCTCTTTCTCTTTCTTTTTTTCTTTCCTCGCGTGACAATTATTATAACTCAATCTTCTTGTTTACACGCAATTGACTGACAGTGTTTCCCTCTGCACAATGTGTTAGTTTTGCTCCATTTTTTAACTTCAAAATGGTTGAAAAAATCAGTGTAAAATGGAAATATGAAGAATATTAAGAAGCGCTTTCCAACTACAATTACATAGTTCACAGTAGATAATCTGCTTGATTTCTATTTACACTGCATAAATTATAGAAGACCATATCATTTGTGAATTAATTATAAATGTCAACCCACTGCTAGCTCTTGACGGTTTTGACAGTTGACTTGGACTTGCTTTTGGTGATCGTGCGTTTGACTAATCATAAAAAATACTGATAATAATAATAGCTTAACAAAGTGCTTTTTTTAAAATATAAGAGATCAATAATGTGATTCACGGACAATTTACTACCTCTACTGCCAAGTGAATTCCACGTTAAATTTCACTTGAACGAAGCGATGAGTCTGATATCGGTTTTCGCATGAAATTTTACGTGGCATTAGCCATCAGCCGAGTGAAGTTAAACTAAAAAAAATGCACCCTTCGTCAAGGAAATAGATTACGCTAAATAAACCTTGCTCGAGAAATTAAACCTCAATTTAACCTTACCTTCAGCTTTTTCTACAAGAAATAAAGCCAAAAGTAGTGGCAGTTTTCTCGCAAAGGAAGCCATAATGATTTTGATCGTGATACGCCTTTCAAAATAGTTGCAATAGCAGTTAGAGGTCTCTAAGATATTTCAGAGCACAAACTCGCTCCCAGCCCTTACATGTCAAACTTATCCCTAAAGCGACTGGGAGCAAGTCTGTCCAGAGAGGGGCCCCCGGGTTTATCATACTACAATTTAACAACGAAAGAAATGTAAGGCAAGTGAAAGAATTACACTTCTCAATAATGGAGAAAAGCGTAGTGGCTAAAGGGGTAAACATTAATTTGGCCACTTAACCGTATACGTAGTGCAATTAGGGAGCTTTAGCAACGACGACGGCGACGGCAACCAGGACGTCAAAAAAGCAATAGCTTTATTACGCAAAACAACAACTTCGCAGGTGCATCACACTTTTTTGTACATTTCTTTACCGTCCTTGCACGACTACGACGTCGAAATGCCTAATTGCAAGTTTTATTGAGGACGTAAACAAGCGACGACAAATCTCTTTTTCTCTCTCTAAACTTGAGTGCGGCTCAAAAGAAATCAACTCCAGGGAAATTCGCCTACACTTGCCATTATCAGCACATTGGAATAAACGCGACAAAGATTGAAAAAACGGGAATTCATTTTAAAAAGACGCCTTTTCGCTGCCGTTGCCGTCGTCGATGCTAAAGCTCCCTATTACCAACGAGTGAAGGAGAAAAATTACTGCTGTTTAGCTAATCAGTATTAGTAGTAAAGGATGAGTGGAACATATCATTTAACGATTAGTAAACCTATTTAAAAACATTAATAACTTATAAATTACTATTTACAACATAAATGACTTGGCCAAGCGAAATAAGGAGTTGAAAATGGATGATCACCGATGTGTTACGCAAGTCAGTTGATTTGTTTGCGCTGATCAGGCAGTGGTTTTTTCTTTTTCTTTGATATGTTGCATTATTTCGAAACGGTCTTGCCTTCATATCGATTAGTGGAAAGCCTTTGATGTTCTCAACAAGATGAGGTATATTTTATGGGTGGTGACACTGCTGGAGGCTGTGACGTCACCAACAATGGTAGCCATCTTGGCCGCCATCTTGGATTTAACCAGGAATTAGAAATCAGGTTAAAACCGCAAGAAACCGCGAGAAATGGTACTTTTTTGTTCTTGACATGAAAAATAGCACATAAATAAGCACTTTAAACAAGATTTACTTTTATTGTTGATAGAAGTTGAAACAACATATATTTTCACTCAAAAATGGCTTGAACACCTGCTACTTATGACGTCATATCTCGAAACCATAGAAACTGACCATCACTGAACTTGTCTCAAAATGCGCGCGAGAGATAACGGACAGCTACTGAAAATGTCAGGTGCTGATGTTTTATCGTCTTTGAAAAAAACTCAGGAAAACCTCAGTGGGGTGTGGCAATCACCCCCTTCCCCTTGTACGTCAGAGGGCTTTTCAAGCTCTAGTAAATAATTGCTCGAACAAGCATAATTTTGTAGTTTCTTGGTGTTCCGGAAGGGTGCCATAACCAAATGACGATTAAAAAGATAAAAAAGGGACTGAACTTGACCCACACATCAAAGCAATATTCAACAGTACTTTCACGTCAAAAAACACCCAACAATTTAGTGGTAATTTTAATAATAATAAATAATAATTTTATTTATATAGCGCTAAAATCCAATAATTGTCCAAAGCGCTACCTAATTACAAAATAGAATATAAAAAATCTAAATTATAAAATACCTACAATATACAATATAATTCAAATATAGCCTAAGTTATCCACTATATAAATCAAAAACATCTTAAAACAAAAGGAATCTCATAACCTATATGCTAACTTAAATAAAAAAGTTTTAAGGGATTGCTTAAAAGTTGCCACTGAAGCACATTTCCTAATCTCTAGAGGTAAATCGTTCCACAATTTAGGTCCTGCAATAGAGAAAGCTCTGTCTCCATATGTTTTCAATCTGCTTCTTGGAACCACTAAATATTCTTTACATGAAGAACGCAATGACCTAGAGTATGTTTTAAAATTCAAAAGGTCAGAAATATAAGAAGGTGCAAGGCCATGAAGGGCCTTGTATACCAATAAAAGGACTTTAAAAGTTATTCTAAACTCAACTGGTAACCAATGAAGATTAATTAAAATAGGAGTTATATGAACATGCTTCGGTGTCAGTGTGACAACACGAGCTGCAGCATTCTGAACTGCCTGTAGTCTAGCTAACAGATACTTAGGAAGGCCATGTAATAAGGAATTACAGTGATCAAGTTTCGAACTAATAAATGCATGGACTAAGATTTTACATGTATCTTGGCTTAAGTACTTGCGGATTTTAGCAATATTTCTCAAATGATAGAATGATGATTTACAAATGTTCTTAATGTGCTCCTTAAAACTAAATATGCTATCAAACTGAACCCCTAAATTACGAACAGAGTCACGAGGTGCAATGCACTCAGAACCAACATTAATGTGACCGATGTCAGGCATAGGATGGAATCTGGAACTGATGACTACAAGGTCCGTTTTGTCCTGGTTTAGTTTAACTTGAAACGTTGGATCTGTTCGGATTTCTTCGGAACATTTCTTGTAAATTCTGATGTGCTCTTTTTTCGAGTGAGAAAACATCTTCCTGCTTCACTGATGTTTTTCCATGAACAATAGATCGTCACCTGCGCGAGATCCTACAAACAACGCAGATTTTAAGATCAATGGTTGGCCTGACCTTTAAAATGAAAACAATTCTTGTTGTAAGGAGGTTCTGTGAGGTTCAGTCAGGCCTTTTTTTAAATTTGCTTAGCGTTTAGTCCTTGTTACCATTGGCAAACACCCCCGCTGTAAATCGGGTAATACAGCCGTACGGATTTCAACCAGGGGTTTAAAGTTGAATTCTCACAGATAGTGATCTTCAGATCTGAGTGCTTTGTGTCAGTCAGGATCATCCTTTTGGCGCTGATGCAGTTTTTCTTTGGACTAGGGTGCGATGTCTTTTTGTTCCTCAGTTGTTAATGGCGACTGTACTGACAGCTGATGGTCTCGAAAGATATGCGCGAGCCTCAGCGAGCTCAAGAAAATGTCAGTAAACAATACAAGGAGCATGCATTTTGCAAAGCGTGGACGGCGGCTTTATCAAAGTCCATTTCGGCCCATGGCAGAGGGCTCTTTCCCTCTCGCCCGCCGAATACCTGGGAAAAGAGGCTTCTCCTAGCAGGGAATACGTTTTGAAAATTAGCGGGACTGGCAGTAAACAGAGCGGATCCGTTTAGATTTCTGGGAAACTGCCCACCTACCCCTCCCTTATGCCAACATTAACACTAACTTCTCACTTAGGGCATAATGTTGACTTAAGAGAGGGGTAGGTGGGCAGTTTCCCAGAAACCTAAATTGTCCAATTCAACTAACAAGACCTGCCCATTAAAGTTTTAAAAGGCGCCGTAAATTTCGCGCTGCAAAAAACTTAAACTTCATTATCACAGCCCCGTTGATCCAAGGAGGAGGGGAAGGGGGATTGGGTTCAAGCCAGGAGGCGGACATAACTAAGTCAATAGTAGCATGATGAGCTAATCTTGAATCTTATCCCCAAATTTTTAGGCGGCCGTATAAACTGTTGTAAACCTTTGATGTTGTTTAAAAAGATGAAATCCCATTTATGCAACCACCAGAGGGCGAATAAATGAATAAATGAATAAGTGAATAAATGTTCGTATATATTCTTTTCAAACGAGAAAATATCTATGTAACAAGCCATTCTTATCCATCTCTTGCGACATGCGCCATATTGAAAGTCTTAGTAAGAGCAAAACCTGACGTCATACTCGTTGAGAGGCCTCCCCAGTAATCCCCACTGGTCCTATATGGAACAAAGGAATGTGGCCGCACTAACGGGATGAGAGTATGGCGTGGTGAGTCGACTGCAACTATTTCCAAACCTTCTCAATGTTATAGAAAAACATTTTCTTGTTTTGTTTTTTTTTCTTAACCGTCGTTTAGTTGTAGAGCCACTCATACTTATCAAAGTAGTCTTGGATGAGTCACCTGAGCTAATAGCTGAATTTATAGATTTGTTATTTTCACCGTCCAATTATTTTCATATGAGAACCTCTAATCGATATCGGGTGATGTAAAAGGTACGACTTTGTTGTTGCTACGAAAAAAAGTAATTTTAAAATCGTTTTCGCTCCGAAATATGAAAAAAAAAACAACCAAACATGTCGACGTGTTCCTACGAACCGAAGCGAAAAAAAACATCAAATCAGAGTACTGTAAATCCTCTTTAAGCCCCCCTCTCTAATAAGCTCCCCCTCACTTTTCAAGGGAAGAAAGTTAATGAGCTCCCTCTCTCTTTTTAAACCCCCGCCCCTCCCCCTTTTTATTCTTCACAAATAAATGATAGACTGTATTAGCAATCACGACTGTAAAACTTCGTGTGGACTGATCTCGGAGAACGGCTCCTGCGGATGGTTTATTCACCAACTGGAAGTTCGGATTTGTTTTTGATCCTCGGCTGCATGGCCAACTCCCAACAATGTTGAGCCAACAACGTTGGCAGTGGTGTGCATTGCCAACAATGTTGGGCTGCAGTGCATAGTGGGAAGGATAAACCATGTGTAATGTGCGTGCGTGGATGTTGGAAGAGCTGTGCAAACGAATCCAACATTGTTGCGCCACGCTTCGGCGATCACAGAACAAAAGAAATGTTTGAAATTGCTTGTTCAAAAGTTTGACCGATTTCAAACTTTGCGCAACAACTCCCAGCAATACGCAACAAAATGCAAAAGGAGTGCAAATGGACGCAACATGAGACATCTATCAATGTTGGGTCCTTTTGCACGGGGCTTAAGATTAAAAGATGAATATATGAATTTCAAATATTTGGGCTGAGGGATGAAGAAATAACAAGAATTACCTTCTTTGCATCTATTTCTTTATCGCGCGGTTTAAATATGTGAACTAATCCATATTGTTTTTCTACTCAGAAAAAAATATCCTAAAATCATGAAGTTTTTTATTTTGACATCATTAATTGATTTATTGTTTCTTCAAGAAAATGTTTTTCATATATTACTGGTCTT